GCCTGCCAGGAGACCGAGCAAAAACTCATGAAACTAATGAAACTTCATGAAAACTCATGAACCTAAGCCTCACTAGAGGCTTGTGTCTGTATGAACAAGAGGTGTACGAAGGGGATGAGGTGGCCAAGATTATTTCTGGGAGGCAGGAATTGGTGCTGGTGCAACACTTAACTGCTGCTTCACTAAGAATCCTTATCATTTCTAGGCATGGAAAAAAGGGAAAAAAACCCCATCTTATAATCAGGTGGCTGAATGCACTGTTTGCTCAGAATTTCCTAGGAGCGCTTCGTTGCATGCTTGCTGGTTTGTCAGATGATGAGAGCGGCAAAAGCATTTTGTGAGGGTCACCAAGTATTTAATTCTTAACATTTGTAAGTGATCAAGGTAATTAGCTTTTAGATTAAGACTCAGTTGGAAGGGACCTACAGGGATCATCTGGTCCAACTGCCTGAGCGCTTCAGGGCTGACCAAAAGTTAAAGCGTATTGTTACAGGCATTGTCCAAACACCTTGAACACTGACAGGCTTGGGTCTTCAACCACCTCTCTAGGGAGCCTGTTCCAGTGTTTGAACACCCTCTCTGTAAAGAAGTGCTTCCTCATGTCAAGTCTTTTGACCTCCAAATCTTACCAATATATTTGCATTTTAAAAACCACCAAACGAACAAACAAAAGCCCAACAAAGCCTTAGAAATAAACAAACAAAAAGAGAACCCGAGAATTTCACTGCCTGACTGGATATATGGATATGCCATAATCATTCCAGTAGACAGAGGAGGGTTTTGGATGGGGCCATCCTATGCAGAACAAGACTAGCAGGACCGAGTGCTTGTGATGATGACAGGAAAAAACTGGCCCCGGGGTAGAGTTTAACTTGGGTTGTCAGGCTGTTGACACTTCTCTGCAATGTAAACCCGAGTCCTTTCTGAGCTGAATGTGTCTTGGTGGCCCTCCATTCTGTGCAGGTTTTCTCTTAACGTAAGGTTGGAGTAAATCAGTACAAAGCACTTAAAACCTGAAGTCTTACGTGATAGTGAACGTTCTTCTGTTGTGATGCAGTGGTACAGGGAAATTCTCAAGATGAGAATGAATGGAAGCGCAGATGGGCTCTGCTCAGGAAAACCACAAATTGTAAGTCTCTTGGTGTGTATTTCCTTGCGGTTTGAATTAGTTTTCATTTAGACCAGCTTTAGAAAGTTAATATCAACCGTTAAACCTTTTAGACTATCTTCCCCTCTCTCTTTTTTTTTTTTTTCCAGTTTAGAAGGGAATAAAAGAGCTTTGTACAGTTCTTGAAACTGAGCCTGAAACAGCTCTGAACAAAATATAGTGTTCCTTTCAAAATCTTGGAAATAATTACATCATAGGCAAATTGGGCCAGAAACTGTTAATAGTATTCTTTGTGGAATGAAATCCCATGGGAGGACCTATTTCAGCAAACTGGCATTGTTTACAAATACAGTGACCGATACAGTTGTCCCCTTCTGAGGGACAGATGAAACTTTGTGCCCCATGATGGACTTCACAGAATAACTGTCTTGCTTTTGATAACAAGCTGAAAACGTGCCTTGGTGCCTCTGTGGTCAGCCCCAGTGATCTCAGGGAGCGCAGGCTGGCTCTGGCACTGGGAAAGTGTTTGTAGGTGGGTTAAAGAGAAAACAAAAACCTCTGTTGCCGTAAGATCCCCTAATCTGTGAGAATTGCTGGAGGAGAGGGCCTACAGGAATGCTGGGGGGGGGGTACTTTTTACAAGGGTAGGTGTTAACAGGTTTAAACTGAAAGAGGGAGATTGAGATTGGACATCAGGAAGAAATTAATCCTGGAGAGGATGGGGAGGCCCTGGGATGGGTTGCCCAGAGAAGCTGTGGATGCCCCATCCCTGGAAGTGTCCAAGGCCCGGCTGGGTGAGGGTTGGAGGGACAC